ATAGAAATCTCCTCAGATGAAGAGTTCAGAGAAGGATCTGACAGTGACATTATTGAAGACGATGAACAAGAGAACAATCGACTAACAAATTCAGATTGGTAAGTTTTACTTCTTTCTTATCTCGATAAAACTCAACTACGTATCCATTTTTTACAGTCGTGTTTACCACTTTCTTGCACTGTATATTTATGCATTTTAATCTGCCTCACGACCTTTGCAACCAAAAGCAAAACCAACTGTCACAATTAAACATCGCTTGGTTGTCAATAAGTTATATACTGTAGGACACAGATTCAGGGATATAGTTGTGTCACAATTTGTGTATATACTCTCACTTGGGACAACCATTGATAGTGTTCAAAAATACTAAGGATTGTTTTATTTGTTAATAGGTGTACCTGTGGTAGCTGCCAAATTATGGATACAATAGCTGAATGCATTTGTTGCCAAGAAATCCAAAAAGTAGTTGCAACATGCCAGTCTGTTGTTGAAGATGGAGATGCTGATGAACCACCACCATGCATTACTCAACATCCTGGATTCTTACCTGTTTGTGGCAATAAGTATGTTCTTCGAACYGCATGGGCTCAGTACAAACAGCAATACAGAGATGCTTATGAAGGCCCAGAGCACAAGCAGTACAGACACATTGCCTATAGACAACTAGCAAGATGGTGCTGGGGAGTTCTTGGAAAGGAAGTTCGGGTTGTTCTGTCCTCTTGTGCTGTCATGTGCATCAGAGCACACTTCCCTCCCCCTGGACTAGAGGAGGACTTTCAGTTTGAGGGTTTTCATTATGCAGATGATTAGCTTGATATAATGTTGCATGGAGTGAATATATACATTTTATTTATTCCTTACTTCAGTTACTATACAGAGTGGATTTTTTTCTATCAGGAAAAATTCCTGGAATTGCAATTTTTTGGCATATTTAATTGCAAGATAATTCAAAACAAAAACATAGACTACAAAAAGCTGAGACCAAAATGTATAAGAATCATGTATTCATTTAGGATGCAGTACACGGAAAGGTGTGTTATATAAATTTCTTTTTTATATAAAAAGCCTTTTGTTGGTACAAACATTTTTTGAATGTTTTACATATTTTATTATTAAAAACACACTAAACAAAATATCCAGCTGAATAGTGAACCTAGTGTACAAAGCACTAGTTAACACGATCACTAGCCAACCAAGTAAAATTTGCAGTTATACGAGTCCTGGCAGCAAAAAAGTTAAATATGCTGAAGCAAATGTCACCATTCAATTGGATATTTTTCTTTAATATATTCATACTGGGGGAGACTCCCATATATAAGGTAGTGTAGATAGGTAAAGAAAAGACAGTAGTATAGGGGATGGGGGTTCCAGCGCAACGACCACCRGAGGATTACCCGTCTAAAGTGAATTCCTCGATTCGTACCGCGATTACCCGCATCCCGTGTTTATGTAGTTAAATATGTTAGTCTATATATGGAGTGCGAAGGATGTAAAGAGTTTGCTTATGATTTCTGTGTAAAGTGCTTGAAACCCAAGTTTGTACCTACTAAGCCAAATAAGTATATTTGTTGTGGTAAGAAAATGCAAATAGAAGACGACACGTCAGC